TGTTGTGTTTTGAATTTGGTTTCCTAGTATTTGCAATTTGCATTGTACATTTCCTACTATTCTTGCCGTGGTCACCCCCGAATTTCATCCATATTTCATCTGTTGGGATAGTGGAGTGTACCTTGCTGTTTGTGTGTTTCTAGAAGCCTAACTATAAAGTCTGTTCTATTGGCAACCCTCCCAAGTAGTGTGCTGTGAATCTGCCCAGTGGTGTCAACAAAGTTTTCCACCTGTGTGACAATATCGTCAGCAAACAGACCTTCCATAGCTCTTCTTTGTTCTTGCTCATTCGGCAACGAGAGACCAGCTTGTTTGAGAAAACGTCTTTGTTGCCTGAGCTGGCTCCATGTGAGGCCTGTTGCTTCCTTCATCGCCATCACAGATTGATTACTCATGTGTGGTTTTAAGTTGATGCCTGCCTTTTCACAAATACCTTTTCGAGTAGCTACTTTTGTGTGCTTTAATTCTGCTGCGTGTTGTGTTGTGATGCTCTCCTGTGATGAGCCTGCGATATGTGTCCTGACAGATGAAAGCAAATGTGAGCGTTGACGTTTAGTGGATGACTTAGCTGTTGATGTTTCTTTTCTGGCCTTTATAAGTTTTGTGAGTACTATGGGTTGTCCTCTTGTTTTGCACTGTATCGTATTGGTACTTGAATTGTTTAATTTTCTCCTAACTAAATGAGTATTAAGTTTTTCTTCTTCTTTTGTTAGTGGTCGCGTTGGGGAGATCTCTAGAGACTGAGAGAAGAGCTTGTGGTGTTTAAATGCTGGAGAAATGCTGCTATCTACCATTAGCTGTCTAGGTTTGGATGGCGTGGATGTAGCAATAGGGGGGAGTTGAAGCTCAAACTCACTGTGGCCTGTGGTTGATGATGCAGCGCTAGTATCGAGAGATGCGATGTCTTCGTCCTGTCTTTCTTCATGACTAGTATTGTCATCTGTGTGTGTAGATGGCTCTGCAGTTGAGTTACTTGTTGTGTTTGCCGAGTCTTCAAACGTAGATCTAAGTGGTGAATGTGTTGTTTTTGTAGTTTCTAATGTTTTCGTTGTTACTAATTCTACTGGAATTTTCTTTCTCCCTATTGATGTATGATGATAGTGTGTGCCTATCGAACAGTCACTAGCGCGTATATCAGACCGAAAAGCTGTCCACAAATTTGAGGAGGTTTCAGCTGCTTTTCTTGGGTTTATTATAGTTCCCTCAAACGAATGGGTCCTACTGCGCTTTATCTTGTTGGTACAGGCATAACATATCGTCGAAGAATGTTTACTCCTATCATCAACTGCTATCGTAACCCCAAATACCAACAAGATATAGTGTGCAAAAACAATGCATTTGTACGCTTTTCTCTTTTGGAATTTCTCTTTTCCTGATAGACTTCTACCACCCCATGTTCTACAAAGTTCTTGAATATACCGAACATGGGACGCTTCATCATGGCACTCCATTATGAATATTAATGTTCCAATACTCCACAGCAAAAAAGCAGAAGAAATCCAAACAAGGTGAATGAGGATTGGGGTACTTTCACACTCCAAGATCTACACTAAATCGGTCACTATGAATCACACAGAATACGTACAATGTTCTCACTCCCTCATGTAACTCAGTACTATTTTCTCAAGAGTAATCAAGGGGGAAAAAATTAATTGTATGCTCAATTACTGAGAAAAATAACTTTAAATAAAAATAAATAGATGCAAGTTGCTTTAAAAGTAATAAAGGATAGACTGCTTTTCTCAGCAAGCAGGATTAACACTAGTGAACGCACACAAGAGAAAATTACATCGTCTTGTCGGGTTGAAGTAGCCCTTTAAAATGAGACCCCATGTGGAGACATCGCATCTTTAGATCGGGAGATATTGGGGATCAAATTAATCGAAAATGACTGGTCACCTAGAGTAATAAGGAATTGAGATGACTGCGCCCCTTCCTCCCTTTGCAAAGGTTCATGTAAACGCACGCTCCGTATAAACACATGCTAAAGAGCTCTCCCGAGCACCGTGCATTTAGGCCGAGACTACTGTAATCCAAATTTCTGAAATACTTCAGATATTGTATTGGTCTTTATAAAAATAGTCTTGATACAGGATTCATTAGACAATATGATTCATAAGTTTTGAGACTGCACACATGTTTTGATGAGGTCCGAAAAATTCAGGATTTTTTTCCGTCGCCAGTTGGCACCTCTGCTTACTTTGCATTAAAAGTGGATCAGCCTCATGTCGTGACCCGGCTTTATTTGTAACTTCCACCAGTGAATGTACTAGTCACTGCCAAACCTTCTTTATTAAACTAACTTTGAACTTGTAACCTAATTTTATCCCTTTCTCATTTCTCTTTGTTTTTTTGCTTGAACCTATTACTCCAAGACTGCTATTGAGTTTTATCAAGCTTATTATATTTAATGTGTCTAACAATCTGAAGGTTTATTTTAGAAGGGGTACCCTTTGGCAGGATTAGGTTGTGTCATTTAATGGTTGCTTCAGTACACTCTATGAATAACCCCTACCTTGCTTCATGATTAAATTTGACTTAAAGCAGAGAAACCCTTGACCTCTTGTGACTGAAAAACTTGGTGCTGAGGTCATATTTATCCTTGTTGTAGGCATGATGACTGTGTTCACAACACAGCCATTTCTTTCAAGTGCTGACTGCTGTATTTCACATTTGCTGTGTTGAGTGATTCTTGAATTCCACTAGCCTGAGCTCCGAATCTGCATTGTAATTATCACATTCTGTGTCACTTGCAATGTCATGTGATTCATAGGCGTTACCAGCCTTGAGATTGGCTGTTTTCACCCAATGGATGAGATGCACCGAATTTGTGACTTAGATAAACAAACTATATTTGATTTTGCTGGATTTTTATGGAATTGTGTCAAATTGGTTGATTTTTCGTCTCCACGAAGGAAAGTCTGCTGACCCTTACTGTATTAAAAAATCAATCAGATGAGCAATATGCACTGGGTAATCTTTAATCAAGAATCAGAAGATTAGCTGATTGTTAATTATAAGTGATGTTAAAAGTATTGGTCAAGTGTGTGATCAGTATTCTATAGGGTTCAGTGCTCAGTGTCTTGTTTATGGTCACAACTTTGAATATCAACACCAAGATCAGAGAGAGGATAATTCCTTGGGATTGCACCGTTTTCAGTTTATCACCACTTCAGCAGATTGGACTTTATCACAATCCTAAGCTTGTATCAGAGCACAATCTGGGTGCGAACTCTTTCTAATCTCACTGTACCATTTCACTGTTCATACTTTGCTGTCATGCCTCTTTTTTTTGGGGTCTTTTTCAAATTCAAGCCTTTTGTCTTCAACTGTCTGTGCCAAAATGATACATACGTAAGTGGAACCCTATTTTAATATAAATACACATGTTTCTTTTGTTTGAATTAGATTGAGGATTCACAAAAGGTACTGCTGTTCTTGCTACTTTATTGTGTTAAAAATTGTTCTGTTAAAATCATAAAATTGAATTTTATCAGAAGATATTCTGTTCAAATTTTTGCATCAGAATTGTGGTATTTGTACTCTGTTTCATGTGGATGTCTTTGGGATGTTACTGAAATTGTACTTTCTTTAAACTGATTTGTTTTTAGTAGGAGGCCTATTCTTGATTTTCTTATCTTCCAGGTTGGAAATGGCAGATAGTTTTCCTTCCATCAGTGCTGACCAGTTGACCAAGGCTGTGAGCATTGCTGCTGCTGGCACATTATGTGACCTTGAAAATTCAGAGGATGGATGGAACTCGGGTACCGTTTTTTGAATACAACATATTTTTTTCAATATTACTATAGCTTGTAAGCAAGACATCTTCCAACTGTTACTGCGTAGACAAATGTTTGTTCGCTAATAAATTGAGGCTAACAAAAAAAAAAGTGAAAATAATTTTTTAAAAATCATCTAATAATTATTATGTCTTTGTCATACTTTAATGAATACGGGCTTCTGGGGATTTTTTAAAAGACATTTACTATTTACCGTAAGGTGTTTTTAACCTCATGCTTATCACTTATTTCTGTGAGCACATTTGTGGATTCCCAACATTTTGTAACAACTGTGCTGATGTTCTTTTTTATATCTTAAAATTAAATACCGATATGATTATAATGCATGCATATGTTATGGTCATTTTTTTTTCAGAATCTGTCAAGGTACTGCCTGTTCAAAACATGCCTGAAGATGGTCAAGAGGACACTTCTTGTCTAAAATTACTGGAGTCACTGTCCTCTTCGCTGTCTTCATCTCTCTCCCCGGGTCTGCAAAAGCTGAATGAGCTAAGCGCAGGGGGAACATCTATCATACCCCCACTGGAGCCTCAAGCTAATGGAACAGTTGTCACCAGCAGCGTCACCGGTAGAGCCAATTACAATCTGAACAAAAAGAAAAAACCAGGAGCTGGTGCAAAACCTGCTCCCAAAAAGTTTTGTAGTAGAAAGAATTATAAGCTGCAGCCTCCATTGCTTCCTTCTCAGATCAGAGCCATGGTGAGGAAGTCCCCTCCAGATGTAGAGGTTCAGCAGTTGGTCACACCAGACAAAAGGAGTGAAAGCAAACCTGTGCTGTTGCCCCACACTGGACATGCACCTGGATATGTGTTAGTTAATACTACTATCCCTCCACAAGCTTTATCTCAGCCAGAGAACAGACCGTACATACAGCTTAGCCCCCAGTTAAAGACAACTGATGCATCCTCCATGGAGACTGGAGTCTCTAATGGTGCAATACAGGGAAGCCTCAAATCTGCTGTCGATAGGGAGGCTTCATCTGTGACTCATCAAAATACCAGGGCGTCTTCCCAGATAACAATGTCTGCTGTGCCTAATGAAACTGTCCCCTCTGTCTTAATTTCCCAGTCAGTGGCCCGCATTTCTGACCCAAGCACTGATGGTCCCAAGCCATGCTCAAGTAATGTTCACTCGAATTTAAGAACCATGGTTTATTCCCCTTTTGCTGTGAGGCCTGCAGGTCAGCCACATAATATAGGGGTGCAAAGTGTGCCAGGCAGTGTTAGGGTCCCTGGCATGAAGAACAACGTTCCTGGACACCTCCTACCTCTCCCCGTGGCAGTGGTAGTTGCCCCAAATGCCCAATCTGCTAATGGTGAGGGCACAACAGGGACATCGGGACGGGAACAACCATGTCAAGCTGTAGTCGCCATTGTAGACAGAAGCATTGATCCCCATAGTAACTATGTTACTGAGAAAGGTAATAAGACTGTAACCGTCATTCCTAAAGCTCGACCTTTGCTTCTTCCTAAATTACCTAATTCTTTTCCGCAAGGAGATGCATTGTTACAGAATTTGACTCAAGCCCCTTATCATTTTAATGGCACCAGCTTTATTCCTGACCCTGCCCTTCCTGCTATGACCAACCCAGCCCAGGACTCCAAAACGCAGACTCCCACTTCAGGGAATAGCCCATTGATGCCTCCACCTAACCCTAGCAGAGTTTCCCTGAATTCAGGGAATATCCAACCAGCTCCCTCAGCAACTCCTTGTGTAGTTTCTTTAAATTCAGGGAATACCCCTTTAGCACCTCCAACTAGTCCTTGTATTGTCTCGTTAAATTCGGGGAATTCCCCTTTACCACCCCCAGCTAGTCCTTGTATTGTCTCATTAAATTCAGGGAATTCCCCTTTAGCACCCCCAGCTAGTCCCTGTATAGTTTTCTTGACTTCACAAAATTCCCCTTCTGCACCTCCTGCTAGTCCTTGTGTAGTTTCCCTTGATTTAGGGAATTCCCCAAATGCACCCCCAGCAGGGAATACTCCTTTCACAACCCCAAATGGACCTTGTATTGTTGCCGTAAGTTCAGGGAGTTCTCCAATAGTTCCTTCGGCTTCTCCTTTTGTAGTTTCTTTTCCTTTAACTGTTGATACTCAAAACACACCACCATCAAATGCTATTGCTTCCTGTCCATCACAAAGCACATGTAACGTGACCGCGTCCCCCAGTGCAGCATTATCATTTCCTAACTATACAACACCCTTACCCCTGAATGGGAGAAGTCGGTCAGAAGGGACCACATCAGTGCATGTTGCTGGTTCTGTTTTCAACAGTCGTCAGCCCATGCTTCAAGGACATGCTTCACATGGGAGTCATTCTATTTTCACTCCCTCTGCCTCTCCGACAAAATCAATATGTCAAGTACCAGCCCTCGTTTTAGAATCTGGTGTAAAAGTTCTTCAGCAAGTAAGCTCCAGTCAAATGCTGCCACAGTCACCATTTTACAACTCGGCTTTTGCCAGGACTGAAAAGGAAACAGTTGAGCATAATGTAAGAGAAAGCACTGACGAGTCTAAAGATTCTCCTCTTCACCATGCCTCTGCATCAACCAAAATGTCACATTTTGCTCCCAGTCCAGTTGCAGTACTGTTTTCTGCCCCTATGAGTGGAAGTGTTGTCAAAGAAACTTCCTTGAAATCGTCTGAAGTAATAATGCAGGAATTAGATCCAGCAGGCTCAAATAATAATAATAACAGGAGCAACTGTGCAATGGATGTTACTCCTAAGACTGTGTCTTTGACAGAAGGATGTTCCTATTTAAGTAACGAAGGACTCATCAGGCCAAATATTGTAAAACTTGCACCATCCTCTGGTGGACAGCCGGGTTCAACACCCACCTCCCTGATTATGGTGAATTCCTTCACTTCGTTGACTTCTGCCCCAAGAATGTCCTTCACCGTTGTCCCTTCGCCATTCCAGCAGCAGCAGCAAAGTCAAGCCCTATCTGGACAAGGTAAGCTCAGGAGATTGTGACTTCAGAAGTAAACAACGTCATATTTGGGTGAACAGGGCACTCAGATTTTTTCTTTGTGAATAAGTAATACACTACTTTGATTAGCTCTGCTCTCTGACTTTTTAAATATAAGTAATGCACTCGTTTTGTCAGTAGTGTTCTCTGCTTTTATTTATAAGTTACGTACTGTTTTAGGCAGCACAACTTTGTTGGGGAACGAATAACACACAAGTCGCGGCAGCAGTGATTATGTAGGAGAAAGGTAACAAGAGGAAGCTTTCCTTTGGACTGCATAAAATCACCATTGAGGGTGGAACGTCACAAAGAACTTTTTTTGAAGTCTTATGCCTTTGAGGATCTTAAAATGTTAAAATGTCTAGAATGAATGCTTTAAAGTTGCGTGATTCCATTATTGTTTAATCTTCCGTGTACCAGTTGTGACCTTTTGGTACTTAACCGATTCTCTCCGCTAAGCCGCTGAGGGGCAACACATGGTTCTCACAATACACTAGTCTCTGCCTAAACGCATGGTGCTCAGGAGGGCCCCTTAGTGTGTGTTTGTATGGAGTGTGCATTTACTTGAACCTGTGCAAACGGAGGAAAAGAGGCAATCTTGTGACGACATGTCGTGACTGCTTTGTGAAGAATTCCTCGACAGCAGTTATGAATTATGAACACAAAGGCGTTGGATGGGTGGGGGGGAGGCAGAAAGACTGGTCTTACTGCAGTGATACGCACTATAAAATGTCGAGAGCAGATAAGAGGAAACTTTTGGTGATAGTGATTGTCATCGGGAAAAGCGCTTAGTCACGCAGCTTTCCAAGCGACCACTCCTGACTGCGTGTTATTTATTGCAACTTAATAAATGTATGGAGGACATCAGAATCAGACATTCCGAGATTCTTTTCTGTAGTAATTCGTTGAACATCTACATTATAAGTTCTTCAAGCACTGTTTATTACTTGAATAATCTTTAATCCTATAGAGGCCTCTATTGTGTTCTACAGTATTCACGCTTGTTGAGCATCATAGGCCTAACCAAACACTACCAATGCAGTACGGTAACTAAAACACCAGTCAGAAACCTCTCAAAGACACCTTTCTACTCGAGTGACCATTCAATAGACATTTCAGTCAGCTCCCCCCCCCCCCCCCCCCCCTCCAACATATAACTCGACCTGTCCTAGACCTTAGATGCGTCCGTGGAAAGTAGGGTGTGAAAACTCTGTCCGTCACTCTCTTTGTTCTGCGTGGGGGGCAGTCTTGCCAAATATCCGGTTGTCTAGACTTGTTGGCTTGTTTCGCGAATCGAAGCGTTCCTTTAGAAGGAGTGACCATGCATTTGTACGCCTGAATTATATAGTAAAAAAGCAGTCATATGACGAAAGAGTGCTTTTGAGCAGAGTATGCTTTTGTATGGCGTGTGTTTAGGCGGAGACTGCTGTATGTATGCTACCCCGCCGAGAGCTGTGCAAACTGTTGTTTCTTTGCCTTTGGTTCTAGTTTTATATTTGCCTGAAACACTGTTCCTACTCTCGAATTTTCATTTGTAACAACTTCCTTTCGAATTTTAAGGTGGTTTGGAAGAGTTGCAGTGTGTTTTTAGTGAGAAAAGCATTGAATGTTTGAGATTCGCACAGTTCTTCTTTTGTTGTTTTTTAATTTATGCTGTGTCATGAAAAACCTCATGACTGGACAACTATGGGGTCAATGGTCTCCAAACTTCTGTTATGCATCCTCATTTAGATTACATACATAAGAAGAGCAGCTGCAACATGATACTAATCCTAGAAGTTGAAACACATTCATTTTTGATTGCTTGCTTTCTTCCCACTGCCATAAGTGATTGATTTAAAAAACTTTTTTTGATCTGGATGATAGCTCATTGCATGGGCATTTCAGCTCTGTGTTTCTTTTTTTATATCTTACTATATATTTTCTATCTCTGAGGAACACAAACAATTGAAATACTAACCCACCCCGAGCGAAAAAGAAGTGGGGCCATTTTTAATTGCTTCCAGACACTGAAAAAATGATGGAGAGAATCAGCAAAGCTTTTGTCACTAATGTGATATTTACTTCTATGTTGGACCAAAACATTGCATTCCTTGAAAGTAGCCTGTGTACAATAAAAACCCTTCTGGCTCCCGATTTTGAGTCAACTGGATTTTTATTTACCGTCATTTACTGTTTGCGTGAAATACCTGAAATGCAGTTTTTAGCTTTGCATCAATAAGTTATGATTTTTTGTTTGTTTGGTAGTTTAATTGTGGCCATTTCAATTGGTAACCTGAGAACTTACACTTGTTTCAATTTCTCAATGCACGCAGAATTTTAGCTCAATGATAGATTGATGTTAACATTTGTGTTTTAATTAGAAAGTAGATCTTCCATGCTCAGTGTTTGGAACTGTACTTATCCATGTCATCTGTTCTTGTTTCAGCTGTGATAAAGCATCCCAATTTAGCAAGATCAATCACCAACAGCAGCTCCGGAGTGTCTCAAGCAACAGTCCCATCGCAGCTCCATGCAGGTGACTGTAAGTCAACAGTCATGTCAACCCAGTTGGCCCCCACCACATCCGTCTCCTTGACTGTGAGTGCAGATGTCTGTGTGAACAAGAATGAACCATTTGACAGTTGGTCAACAAAAGAGATGCAGGTGACTACTACACAGCAAGAGAGAACATCTAACTGCAACTCAGTAAAGAACGAAACAGCATGTGCCATTTTGAAGTTGAGTCAAGTGTCACCGTTAACGTCATGCTCAACCTCCGCGGCGCAGACCACAAATACTGAGCTGAGCCTAGTCCAGCAAGCCAATATTGGCTCTGTGATGAGTACAGCAACTTTCACTAATACATCTGACTCGTGCACATCTGGCCCCCCAACCCTGAAAGGAGTATCGAGCTTGCAATGCTTGCCTACTGTAAGGCCATCTACCAGTAAAATGTTGATTCCATCCAAGGATAGTTCAAAGCTGGTTTTATCAGCTGCAGGGATTCGTCACTTGCAAGCACTAATGCGGAGTCGGGGAACCACAGAGGGCTACTTTGTCATCACGTCTCCCCGTGGTATCAGACAGCACAGCCCCACAGTTACTGCTGACTGCTCTTCCACAAGCAATGGAAAAATGGATCAAGTGAAGGAAAACTGCTCTTCCCATACTTCATGTTCAGATGGCAGAAAGAGTAAAGTGTGTACTGAAACCCTGGATGTATCAAAAAGCTTAGTATCTAGACCCCAATCTGTTTCTGGTACTGGTCAAATAATACGTTTTGATTCTATAAAAAATGAGTCAAAGTCTCCAGCAGAAGATAGTGACAATGAAAGTGTTGTATCATCTGGGTCAAGATCTACTTCGTCTGCACTAGTCATTGAGACCGGTGAGGACTGTGATATGGATGCCGAGTCAGATACTGGGCCACTCAGCGAGCTTACAACATGTACCAGTGTCAAGGATCCTGTTGCTTTTACCTCTGAGGAGCCTGTGAATCTGTCGAAGCACTCAGAGGAGGGTTTGATGCACAACACTGCTTTGACTAAACCAACAGAAGCTTTGTCACTGTCGGACACAGAACAGCAAATGGAGATGAACAGAGGGCAAAACAGCTACAGCAGCCATAGTCCACTGTCTCTGAGTGACCTCGTCCATCAGCAGCATGGGAAGGTAGACTGTAGAATCCAAGAAAGTGTTCAAGACTACAGAAGTCATCAGTTGCCCCAAAACTGTAGTAAAGATGTTGTGGATCTCTTGAAAGACAAGGAAGCGCCAGTTTCCACAGTTGAAAGGACTGACTTTACTTTCCCTGTTCCTGCTTGCCCCACCACCCCAGTCTCCCATTCACACCATTCTTCTCTTGAAACGGACTTACAACACAACTTTTCTCACAGCTTGTACACTCCACAGTCTTTGTATCCAGAGGAGCTGCGGTACGATGCGCAGCTTCCAAACCCATCCCACTGTCAACCAATGGATTCTCAATGTTCACTGTCCGGTAGCCACATGGAGGAACAACAAATTGTTGTCACCTCTGACAACAGTCCTGGCAATGTGACTTCTAGTACAGCGGTGGACGTAGTCAGTCCTAAGTCGCCATTGTTGGTCAGTTCTAGCCATGCTGCGGATAACAGCATCAATCCCCCAATGACCCCCAACACAATGCTGATCAATTTGTTGAATCGGGTCCCCACACCTCTCCTGACAAATCATCAAGATCTTTTAACAGCGCCTACTGCAAATGCAGAGCAGGATCAGGAAACGGAAAATGTTGCGAGTCACCAGATGAATAATCATAGTGGTGGTCTCTCGTTTTCAGGAAAAATGCTCCCTGTGGAAAGGGTCAATGACGGACCAGCCGTTTCTTTGAGCAATAATCCTTCCCTGGCGTCCTCAGTAGCAACTTTTCCAGCTCCAATAAAGGTCTTGTCCTCTGACGCTGCACATTATACCCAGACACCTAGTGGTTTAGATCTCATTGCCTGCAATTATTCTTCTCATCATCAACAGAATAGTTCACTGAATGAACAGACTTCCTCTAATGCTTTGAACTTCACCCTCAGCAATGAAACATCTGAGGGGAAAACTCTAAGCCCCCCTCATCATAATACAGACTCAACACCCTCAGCCATGGCCCACAGTGGCTGCTTACATAGTTACCACTGCAAAACATGCTCTGTCCCTCTGACAGTCACAGTAAATCTGGACTCCTCACACACGGAAGAAATGGTTCCTGAAGAAAGAAAAATGGCTGGTGAGGTTCATGCCTCAGTCCTGGCAACATATGAGCATGGGGACCAAAGGAATGGCCAAGTGCAGCTGGGTGATCATGTCCATGATGCGTTCCAGGTGAACTCGTGTGTTCCTCCGTCTTCGCACTTGTCGAAATCTGGAGATGACAGTGTGGTGTCTGGGCACGTGAACCTGAGCTCAAACAGCTCTGCTTTCCAAACATTGTCACAATCTGTGGATGAGGTAGGACACCAGTCTTTTGACATTGGGGATGTGAATTTTGACCTCTCGACTGGTAATCACAGACAACCTCATTTTGACTGCCACATGGATCGCCCATACCTAGATACCAGTAGCCATGAGCCACATCTTCACAAAGACATATCGAACAATAGTACCTCTCAAAGTGATGTCTACTCTGCTTCACAGGACAATTTCCTTCATATTGATGCCATTCATTCTCAGCAGCCTGGTTACGACAGTTCTGCTACTACATTTAAAACTGGAGTGTATAGGACCACGTTTGAGAGCTCTGCTGATAATTCTTATAACCCCGAAAGCAGTTCCAATTTGGATGGACAGATCAATGCTTCGTATATGTTAGAAGGCATGACAGACAACACAACTTACGGTATTCAGGACATGAGTAAGTCCAACATGTCCATGACGAATCCTTTCTTGGATTCTGAGCGCCTACAGCATCTTCCAGAGTTCAGGGGAGAAGCACACAATAATGCTTTATACTTTGACCTTCACAACCGCCCAGAGCAGCAGGCCTTGCAGCATTTTGACCACCCCAGTTCCCAAGGGCAGGCTCAGACACTTGCTGCTTACTCCTTGGACGGAATGCCAGCCTCTTCAGAAGGTCAAAGCCACCAGACCTACAGTACAGATCTTGCTCATGCTCATCCCAACTCATCCACTCTGTATCCCAGTCAAAGTTCAAACCCAGTGGAGTATATGGGTGACCAGTACTCTGGTCACTACTACACTGGGGCCAGCCTGGAGTCTGGTGTGGCTGTCTACTCCCAGCAGTGTGCCATAGCCTCCGAAGCACCGGTGCTGCCCAGTCCAGCCGTCCTGCCGTGTGACATTCCATACAGCTCTGCACAGCCTGGTGAGTGGACATCTCTTCTCAGATCGGATAACATATGATAAGTTACAGATTTTTGTTTGTGAATGGGAAATATTTCCAACTTCATGTAATGTAATTTCAGTTCACATTGTTTGTCCATGTTTTCTTCCTTTTTTCATATTAACTTCTTTCACAATTCACGGTTAGTTTGACTTTCACTTTGGCTCATACAATGTCGTATTGCTTTCTCAACTTCAAGTTTCTTTGAAATTTGATAATTTTTTAGCTCAAGTTATTTGTCGTTTTTATTTGGTTTATCCCAGTAGTTGTTGCTGTTCTTCTTAATGTTTTTTTTTCTGCACCCCACTCTAGACCTACACCTGGAGTTTCGATTCAGTGAGGATCCTGGTGCAGGAAAACAACCTGTACTTCCCAGTGCTTCCTTCTCTCCTCCCAGCGTGGCTGACCAAGCAGCCTTGCCTGACTCCAGTGAGATGACCATGTACAACGGCACTTTCCCTTCTCTCTCTGGTCAGTATGTTGTACTGTGTGTTATAGATCAGACTTAGTTTCATGAATGCTGCACACTTTCTAAAGCTACAATAGTTCATCTCCTGTGACTAGGCACTTGGTAGAGTATTTAATAATATATGCCTGGAATTTTGAAATGCCTATTTGCTATAGAGTTCAATGCATTATTTTTTTAAGGGTGCTTTCTTTCCCTTTGCTTGTTTACATTTCAGGTAAAGAAATACTGCACCTTCTTTTTAGTGATAAATTTTTCTTCAATTGAAAAATGTATGTACTGATGAGAACTAAATGTCTACCATTCTTCCTGGTCAAACGAAACAGAAGTGAATGATTGTGGCATAAATGTGCTTTATAATATGAATAATTCTTTTTGAATGGCAAAATACATTTTTATTGTAGTTCTTTTGTGAGAAAGCAGATCAATGTTGATGGGCTTTTCATTTCACATGTACGCTATTGTCAAATGTACAACTGACTCCTATGGTTAATAATGACGAAAGGATTTAATTTCCTAATGATTTCTATGTATGAGACTGACAAGTGTATTTTACTTCCTACAGTGTATGAGATGTACGTCAAGGGTGGACAGTCAGATGGAAAAGTCGGCCCAAGTGATGGTGCGCTGGAATCAGGAAGCTGTAAGAAGATGCTGATAAAATGCCTTTTCGAAGCTTAATTTTTAGGACAAGAAATGTCGAAAGAACATTAAAGTTACTCGACTGATTTTGAAATATGGACAGTGGGAATGTTTGCAGGGGAAATAATAAATATTATTTTAAGAGATAGGTCTCAGCAGTTTAAGTGTTATTGTGACTTTCTAAGAAGCAGTCAAAAGAAAGTTGGCTGATATTGTTGAAATTTTCTCATTTTAAGTCGATCAAAGCAACTCAATTAATTCACTGACAGTTTTCAGGCCCATGAAGGGGAAGAGCAATGCAGCCGGTGAAGTGAAAAATATTTGAGATACCTGCATGATTCAGGAAGATTTCCATTTCATCCCTCCACCCTTTTTTGTTAGTTCTTTTCTCATAGTTCCTTTAATCTGACCCTCCAGTGTGCAGGAGAGTTTGCATCTAGGGAAAGTTCTACAAAACTGTTGTGACCTATTTTCCTTCTATTAATGGATTTTTTTATTTATTGAGGATTTAATTTTTTTCTTCCAAGAAGCTTCAAACTCTTTTATATTGAGAAAGTTTCCTGTATCTGAACATTTTTATGGTGGGAAACTTTTCTTAACTTACAGAATAGTTGAACCAGGAAAAAAAAGAAGAAAAATTACGACTTGGGCAGGCTGTAGTTGGTTTGTTCATGCTTCCTTTATCAGAAATGATTGAAGTGAATTGGTATGCTGAAATCATTGTTATTCAAAATATTCTTTCTCTAATCTGTTTAAGGGCAAATATGGTGACCGCTACTGGGTCAACCAGGTGTAAGCTGTTACTCTAAAACATCAACTCTTTTTCTAAATGAGAAAGTAAAAATTTAATGTCTTCATCCTGTCTTACTGCATTTTAAAAAATCCAATTTTTTTTCTGTTTTTACTTTTTTTCAGTCTGTGTTGAATGCAACACAACATACAAAACTCAGTGCAAATTCCACCCCAGCAACTACACATACGTCGCTGATTCTCCCATACTGTCACATGCAAGGCTGACCCTGCCCACTTGTCTGAAGCTGAACATTTCCTCTGTGGTCGGACATTCAAATAACACCGGTTTGTGCAGTTTTGAATCTATGTTATCATCAATGTTTACCCTGTTCTTATTATTGTGGCGTCGGTGGCCTAGTGGTTAGGCTCTCAGACTCGCAACCGTAAGGTCGTGGATTCGAATCCCGTCAGGGGCCCGACGTTGTGTCCTTGGGAAAGGCACTTTGCACAAATTTTCCTCACTTCACCCAGGTGGAAATGGGTACCCGGCTATAGACAGTGAAAGATCTTGTCAGTTTGATAGTGTTTGAGCGCGTGAAATCCGCAGCTTGCACTGTATGCTTCCTCGGAAGCTGAGAATGTTTCTGAGTGTTCTCAGAGGGTCTGCTGGGGTAATAATAGTTGTAAAGCGCATAGACCATGCTCTTGAGCATGGATATACGCTATATAAATGCAATTATTATTATTATTATTAACTCACTGGCTGCCCTTGCTGCATATGATGTGGTCTTAGTACTGTTTCCTCTGACTACCTGTCCCGCAGCTCCTGCAGTTTTTGAGTTCAGAGGTTTTTTTTATGTTATTACCACAGCATATGCGTCATGGGTACTGCTTTTAGAAACTACAACCACTTCCGCTCCGAAAGAGCAGGAAAAGAGTAGAAACTAGAAACGCACTTCTGGTGCTCAAAGTGCCAAGTGCCATTGAGCATAGGACCATGTTTCCGTGTTTATCACATGGAGGAGAGTTACTGGCTCTAATAAAGTAATAAACTGTGACAATTGGACAGACCGTTGCCATCACTGATTCTTTTTGTGTTATCTATGTGTATGTGCCTCAAACAATAGGAAACAAATTTTTTAAATTGCATATAATTCACATTTGATTTGTTTTCCTGGGTCCCTATTTGAGGTCCAATCATGGTTCCAGCAGCAATTTCCGTACCTATTTTTTTGTTTTCTAAAAATTAGGTGAAATAAGGAAATTGCATTCTATTTGTTGTCTTAGAATCTTTATTATGTCCTTAATAAGTGTGCAAAGTTTTGTGACTTCGTCACAATGATCTTTTGGAAAAAATTGAAATAGCAGATACGCAGGGTATATCAAAGACAAACATGGCGGGTAGCCAGTGAGTTCATATATTCATGTACAAGGCATGTTTCTCAATGCATCTGCAGAGTTCATGAAAAAATTACAAAAATTTCACTTTGATATTTTCCTGTTGTTCATGTTCAAGAGAAGAATAATTTTCAAATGAAAAAGAGGAAAGGAGGGAGGGGTAATTTATTTTCTGCCTTTGTTTCTACTTGACTGTTGAGGTTGTAGCAATAAAAAATTGGTCTCCTCTTGTGTCTTTTATTCTGTTGCACTGTTTTTTTAATTGCAGGGCAAGATACTATAAACTGGCAATATTGGGGGGGGGGGGGGGGGGGGGGAGGGGGGGGTTGCAGATGACTGTGGCAAATGTTTAATAAAAAATAAAAAGATTCTAATTGTCCTCCATCTTTTCCCTCAGAATTTTTTCTGTCTTCTTGTTGATGAACCCTGGTGATAAGGGTAGTGTTTAATTTTTGTCTTTTTATCTTCAACATCACATCACTGCTTACAAAACGGGAAAGCAAATACCTTTCCAGAACCTGTCTTTGTCAGAGGTAAGTGTGTTTAGAGACACTAAAAGACGTGCTGATAGCTCAGCTGATATCAGGCTGGGCTACATGTGTCGATGACTTTGGTTCAAATCTGTCAAGTGGCATTATTAAAGTTTCATTGGTTTTCAATTCACTATTTGTCTTCAACTTGTAGAAGATGGATGCTGAATTCAGATGTCTTACCTCTAAGTGACCTCATTGTGTTTCTGAAGCATTACACCCACACTTTTTGATGAGTAAGCATATGCGTATTAGTTTTTTTAAAGTTCTAGTAATGTGGTTGTTTACTTGCATTTTTAGGTGTGTTTGCTAAAGAAAAGATTGGGGTAAGAACGAAATTCGGCCCGCTGATTGGCTCGTCAGTCTCATGCGATAAACTGGGCAGTACAAGGTGTTTCTCCTTGTGGCAGGTAAGTGGTCAATGTTAACACTCATTCCACAAACTTGACAATAAATTTTCCCCTGCGGACCCCGACATTTTCTGCCTCAGAGAAAAATGGTGGATATTTCATTTTAAAGATTGACTAAACATGCAATTGTGTTATATCGATAAATTGTTGTGTGTATGCCTGTGTGGATCCAAAATGTTCAGCCTCAAAGGAAGCTCATAACGGTGGATATTTCTTTTTAAAGATTGGTATGACATTGTGCAATTATGTTATCTTGATAAACTATTGTATATATGCGTGCATGAATCCTGAAATTGTCAGCTCAGAGAAAGTTAAAAAAGAGTGGATATTTCTTTTTAAAGATTAATGTGGCATTGTGTAATTATGTTATGTTATCTTGATGAATTATTGTATGTGTGTGTGTGTGTGTGTGTGTGTGTGTGTGTGTGTGTGTGTGAATGAGTGCGTGTATGCTTGTGTGTTTGTGTGTGTGGCCCTTGGAGGAAATCAATAAAATGGAATTTTGTCATGTATTCATTTTCAATTGCTGTCCACTGTTTATTCAGACATTTGTTGGCAACAACATCAAAGTGGTGGACACCAGCGATGAGAACTCCGCCAACTGGCTCATGTTTGTCAAGCCAGCGCGCCTCTCTCTGGAGCAGAACCTCATCGCCTTCCAGCACGGAAACTCTGTGTTTTTTGTCACCAGGCTGGACATAGAGCCTGGACAAGAACTGCGCTACTGGTTTTCTAAAGACTATGCCAGAATGTTAGGTAAACTGGGTGGCTGTTTTTAGATTCTCTAATAGTGAAGTGTGTTTTGTTGATATCCTGGTCCTCATTCAAACAATGCCCC